CATGGCGTCCACTCTCAGCAATAGAAACCCCAGCTAAGACAAACACTGAAGATAACTTCTTGGAAGTTTTCTCTTTAAGCATGGACTCAGCAGAACCAGTTTTATTTTTACAGTTCTGTAAAACAAACTGCTCTGAAGATCTCCCGGAACTAATTGTTTATGGCTATATAAACTGGTAAAATTCACTCTTAATAAAAGTCAAACACTTCCCCTGCTGTTTCACACACAGCTAACCAAGCCTATATCTATGCCATGCCTCACCATATACATTACTAGACATTTAAAACTAATGAGGCCTGTTAAGGTGTATCTACAGTATCTGTTCCACAATCCAGCCTAAAGGAACTTTTAATCTTCTTTCTATCCCTGATATTATCTGTCCTTCACAGTCATGTATCACATGGAGATGGATAAGCTTATTTTCATTCAAGTTGTTCAAGATATTAACTGGTACCACTAGGAAGACAGTAGAACTACCTTTCATATTTGAATATGCACTTTTCAATGTTGATCCTTTGGATGTCTTTTGAGAGAATGGGGGGGTGTCCTTTAATGGGTGTAAGAAATGTACAACATTGCGTGCAATGAACTATAGACTCACGTCTGATTTTTCATAGAAACTAATCTTCATACATTTGTCTCTATGACGGTGGCACTCAGGCATTTCCCAAGCTTTCATCCAAGAAAGGGGAAATAGATTTAACACAGCCTGTCTGCCTGCATCTTCCCATTTGCATATCCTACACATAATGTAAATGAACCCCGTTCTTGTCATAGCATTTTCCGTATTCTGGACTTGACCCTCACAAAACTTACCTGGTAGAAGGACAAGTGGTTCTGGTTTCAGACAACCAGCCAAGTCTAGAAAGATTTCCACACCATTTGATTAACAGCAGCCCGGATCCCCTGCCTTAGAGAAGTTCCTGTCTGTGGGACAATCATTACCATCATATGAAATGTTGTCCTTGTTATTCTCCGTCCTCCATGCCAAACAGTCATTTTCCTTTTTGAGTTGTTCCCACTTGGGGTCTTGACAGCCAAGCAGTCATCAGCACGAAAGGAGAGCACGGGGCACCATTTGTGAGTGAAAGTGATACTGGCGACCCTCATGTGGCCTAAGTGAAGACCATGCTCAGAAGCATAGTGAGTTCTCATAAACAGAGGATGCTGAAGGAGAGGCCAATGTGCACACAGTGTGCCTCAGGACCTGTCTGGATCACAGGAGATGAAGCAACCTGGGGATGATTTTCTCAACAATGGCAGCGTGTCCAGCTGTGGTATGAGCACAGAAGCAGCCAGCAGCCCCTTCGTTCCTGACATCCAGTCCCTAAAAGCTGCTGAAACCACAGGCCAGTACCTGACCTGAGGGGGTTTGTGACTGAGATGATACACTTCAAGTTTCAGAAGATGACAGAGTCCCCTGGGTTGTACCCAGGATAGGAAGCTTGTTGAAGACCTCACTTTCAAGTCAGTAGAGAAACACAAGGGCGAGTAGTGTGTGCCTCAGCGCCGGGCCTTTGCTGGTAACTGGACTAAAATGGTAAATGAAACCTCTTTCCTGCTGGTCTTGCCCATGTCTAAAATCTACCCAAGATAACCGTTGTCGCAACTCGGGCCCATTTTATAAATAAGAAGCCTGGGCTCTCTGGTTTACTGTATTTACTCTCACTGACAACAAGCCAATGGGGGCAGTGGGGTATGAGTTGGTTTAGCAAAGGTGTGTGGAAGACTTGTAGTATTTTTGGATTGTGAGTGTCTGTCAAAAGTGATGTTTTCTGTCTTTTGTACATTGTTTTCCCTTCCTATAGCTGCTATACATAAGCATTAAGTTTACGTCACTTTTACAAAGAAAGTTATAAACTATTTTAAATTCGTTGTTCAACTTTAACAACCAAGTGAATAAAAAAATCAGAGATGAACAACTTTATCTTGTTTGGGGTTTTTTGTAAGGTTTACAGGCAAGAATTTTAATAACACTCTTGCTTTTATATCTTAATTCTTCAGATGCACTTAACAAATGTATCCACCTTTGTGGACAGAGATTAAATAAACTTTCTGATACATAAAAACTAAAACAATACATGTCATTTATTGAGACCGTCCTTGCTTTTCTTATTGATGTTCAATAGAAGAAAACTCAGGAATCTATGCACACATTCACACGCGTGGCACAAACACATGTACATATGTATGCACACATGCGTGCACAAATGTACACACACACATGCACATGAGGGATCCCATGGGTCCCTATGTGTGGGAACAGAAACACAATGATGTCTTCATCAAGGTTCAGAAGAAACTGCACTGTGTTCCAGACTCTGGGATTCGCTGTTGCCTGCCTTCCCGCTCTTTTCACCTAGAATCTCTCAAACCAAAGTGGCAGTGGCAAGTGACTCTGGCTAAGTAACTGACCTAACAACCAAAGTTTAAACCCCAGTCATCCTGAGGCCAAGAGTATCCCACTGGGCATTGTGATACAGTTAGCGTGTCTCTGTTATGCAGGCTTTTAGGACTGTCAGTGAAGCTGGGGGTTCTTCCAGAACACTAACAAGAGAGAAAAAAAGTCGGCCTGTGAATAGCAGAGTTGGAAGATGCACCTGGCAGAGGCACAGCTTTAGAATGAAGAAAATAAAGGGGAGAGACCCAATTAGAGCTCGGGTTTGGGAAGGCCTGTGAAGTTAGTGTGTCTAGCCTCCCAGTCACTGTGCTGGCAAAATGAGCCTCAGAGGACCCGGAACGGTGACAGGACAGTGGGTGTTCCGTTGCTCTACTTCGGAGGACTCGGGCCTGAGAGTGGGAGTCAAGAATGACGATGGAGCTCAGCTCTCCAAGCGAATGTGAGGCGGTCTAGTTATGCTGAGCTCAGCAGAATAACCCCGGGCCTCCCTGGAAGAATTCCCAGGCCTTCTCCATCTGCTTAAGATTCTTCCTGGGTATTGGACTGAAGCAATTTATTATTTGTTCTAACAGTGTCTACTTTTCACCTCAGATTCTCGCCCGCTTGCCACAGATCGGCTACTTAAAGCCGTGTGCGGAAGCAGAAGTCACACAGGGCTGGGAGAGCAGGCGAGGAGATGCTGTAAGTTTTACTGTTCTGCAGCCCCCAATGTGAACACTAAGCCAGACCCAGGCTGACATGGATCTAATGGTTGTTTTTCAGAAATTTCATTTCCACAGCATATAATCAGGCTCTTTGACTGACTAAAAGCTCTAACGTTTTCAACTTTCCTTCTCTGAACTCTGCAGGTTCCACGGCACTGAGCAATGGACTGCGAAACAATGGTTTTCTGAAGCTGAGTCACGGATTCCTGGTCACCTCACCCAGTTACCCACAGGGCTGGAAGAAGCTTTGCCTCTCTGCTGCCTGCCCCAGAGTAAGGTTTGCAGAGGCTCCATGGCCAACCTCCCTCCCAGAATGCCTTGATGATGTAAGGTTATCAGAACACTGTTATTCCCAATAATAATCTCAGTAGATGTTTCCAGTGGACTCGAATCAAATATAAATATTTGATCAACTGAAAAAACAAAAACAAAGAAAACCCTAGCACTGGCCCATTCCCAGCCCTGGAAATGGGAGGACTAAAATGCCAAACACAGTTAGGAAACAATGAACGCAACGCGAAGCTTTCAGGACAGCTCATCTATGTGAAAAACATCAGATAGTACAGTGGTGAACGGGGAATCAGATCCTAGAGCGGGATGCTATTGCCAAGTCCAGTGAGGTACAGCGATGCCTCCGAGTGGGCTACCTTTGTCATTTCTAATTCCCCAGAAGCTCCAATAAGGAGTGAGAGGAAGCTGATAGAATTGACTTGTATAATAGACTCTATCCAACTCAATCTACCTGAAATATCGTTTTGACCCGTAACCAATACAGAAATTATTGACAACGTATTTTAGCTAAATTCTCTGTCTGACATGTCTTTTACACAAAGAGGACCTTTCCGTTTGGACCAGCGCTTCAGTCGCACTTGAAAGGAAAACACAAAGTAGCCATCTTACTGCACAGTGTAGCTGTATATGTAATTACTTATTAATAAATAATTATAATTGATTGATTAGTTACCAATACGATAAATAAGAACAGTAGAGCTACAGGTGAAGATTTCCTAAGGGCTGAAGAGACCAGGTGGGAACCTGACCCCTTCTGATATACAAGCCATGATTCTGGGTTTATTTCGTTCTCTGTTCCGTCTGCTGTCTCTTTGGTCTGTCATTTTCTCGAGTCTTCCTCTCACTGCCTCTACCAGGGACACTGCTGGAGTGCGGACAGGCCAGAGTGTAAAGAGTCAAGGAACGGGCTGGATTTCCAGTCTGATGACCTTGGATGAGTTACCTAATCTCCTTGGTCTCAGATTTCTTTTCTAAGTAATAGGATTAGCTCCTTCAGTACTGCCTTGTAAGGACTGAGTGAAATCATAAATATGAACTTCCCAACATCAAATGGACACTATAGAGCTTTCAAATTTTTAGTGGCTTTTTTTTTTACGATTTATATAAGTTTAGAATGAGGGGCAGAAGGGAATAAAGGAAGCAGAAAAGAAAGAGGAAAATTGAATGTGCTGAAGTCTCAGCGTCGCTTCTCAGTCTCCCTTGATCTCAGTAACTTGGTGACTTCCGCCAGAGCACCAAGCCCAGGCTGTGCAGACAAACCAAGAGGAGAAGAATAAGAAAAGAAACTTCCCGTTTTCACCAGTTTGTCCCATGCCATAGTGACCCAGGTGGCCAGGGGGAGAAACCTCAGCGAGCACCATGGAGGAGACATATCCCCGTGACTCTAACAAGTGTCTTGGACACTTTGCACGGTCCACTTCTCACAGACTCTGTCCTCCAGAGCTACCACTTGCTCGGTCCCTGCAGGTTCCCCACCATGTTACCAGACCCATACCCTGCCGGTGCTAGAATTAGCACCATGGCCGCCACACTCTCTCCTCTACTGTCCCTGCAAAAACAGCCCTGGCCCACCTGGTGAACGCATGAGCGGAGGGGCGACTCACCAGCTCGTTCTCCTCTCCCTCATTGAGCAAAGCCTGGTGACCATTCTTGCTCTTCTCCATCTAGAACAACGTGTGTGGCTTCGTTCCGACTACTGCGTGGGGGACTGCGAGAGCCACCTGCGCGGCTGTGATTCAGGCGCTGCTTGTCATCGCTGCTCCCAGGTGCTTACAAAACCCGCTGGCACCTTGCCGCTTAGAGCAACAAAGGAGAAAGGGAAGGCTCTCCACTGCCACGGGATTGGTCTGCTAATTTATCTGCTTGATGTGTGTGTTTTTTTTTTCTTCCTAGTGTTTATTTACTGAGCTACATGTGCAGTGCCTCCAGACTGAAGGAATGATGGGGTGGGGGTGGGGGAGCTGTTGCACTAAAAAGTAATTTCACATGCAGCCGGTGGAAGTCCCCACCAAAGAACAGGAATGGCCACCGTGCTCAAAGGACAAGGCAATCGAGTCCCATTTGTCTCCTGAGCGCTGCGGAAGCTCTGGAATTCAGAGAAGCTGTGAACACAGTGAAGATGGCCTTTGGAAACTGGAGGAAGGGGGAGTGGGACCCCTTCTGGAATCAGGGGGAAGAAACGGAGTTTTAATCCCTGCTCTGCTGATGACCCCGGATAAATCACTTATAATCTGAGTTTCCGGTTTCTGATATGTAAAATGTCAATGGTAATTATAGGGCTGATAGGAGGGCTCGTGATGATGTTTGCAAAAGGGCAAGTGTGGCTTCTGCCTCCTCCAGGGAGAGACAGGCAATCATCTCTGCCGCAATCATAGCGCTAATCAGAGAGAGGTGCTTTGGAAAATGAACTGCGGAATAGCTTGATTCCACAGTTTACAAAACTGGAAGGGAGGGAGAGAAAGCAAGAGAACTGAGTACTAAGGATATATAACCTGAATTTTCCACCCCTGAATACTCACTTTTGAATTTGATGCTTTTCTCAAAGGGAGTAAGAAAATGGACCTATTCTTGGGTTAGTTAACTGGTCAATTTTTAATTAAGCACACACACATACACAGAGAGAGAGACAGAGATACAGAGAGACAGAGAGACAGAGAGAGAGACAGAGAAAGACAGAGAGAGAGATTTTTTGCCATTTTTCTTGTGGTTTCTTGCCTCTAGTCCCCTGAAGGGAATCCTTGACCCTTTGCTGTGGGAGAAAGTTGACTAAGGTAAAAAGCATCACCCGTTGCTTGAGTGCCCTCATGTGTCCTCCTCAACACTCAGGGCAGATCAAGGTATTTCCTGACCCCTGGGAGGCATCACTTGATGAGAACAAACACAGGGTTGTAGCTTTTCATGTCAGCAAAGCGACTGAGGTGTTCCTTGTCCCGGAAACCTAATGGTGTCACAATGCTTCAGTCCAACGTCAAGTTCAGATATGAGGATTTTATCAAGCCCTAGAGAAAGACATGCATGGCCACTCTTGGTCTTTTACTCATAATCCCACTCGTGATTCCTGTGAAGTAATATCAGGTTTGTGTCTGGGTGACATGACTAAAATGAAATGTACCAGTGAGTCATGGCTTGTCTAAAGTGGGTCCAGGACTGCATCCTAAATAATGACAATAAAGATAACTAACGGCAGCTGGAGGGGCTGATTGTCCTGGTATTGAAAGTTTTTTGTTGTTTTTTTTCTTTCTTTCTTTCTTTTTTCTTTCTTCCTTCCTTCCTCTCTCTTCCTTTCCTTCCTTTTCTCCCTCCCTTCTTTCTCTTTTCTTTCTTTCTCTTCTTTCTTCCTTTCTCTTCTTTCTTTCTTCTTTCCTTCCTTTCCTTCTTTCTTTTTTTCTTTCTTTCTCTTTCACTTTCTTTCTTCCTTCCTGTGAAAATGCCTGTGAGGATGTTGTGCTTCAAGCACAGGGACTGTGTGATCAAAAGGAAAGAGCACATCTCCGGCTCTGGTGCATGAGTCTTACTCAATAAAGAGGGTGGGAAAGGTAGAGCAGGTTAGAACCATGCCTTACACTCTCCTTGGCAGAGACAAGTTTCTCAATGCCCACGTCACAGTTTAAAGCAGTGGTTCTCAACCCGTGGGTTGCAACCCCTTTGGAGGTTGCATATCAGATATCTTTCATATTAGATATTTGCGTTCCAATTCATAACAGTACTTAAGTTACAGTCATGAAGTGGCAACAAAATGATTCTATGGTTGGGGTCACCATAACATGAGGAACTCTATTAAAGGGCCCAGCATTAGTTTGGGTGAGAATCGCTGCTCTAATGGTAAACCATATTTGGATGTCTGATCTAGGTCTAAGGGCCCTTTCGTTATTGTTTCTGCTTACCATTATAGCCTTACTGCTTCATCAATACTGTTGAGTCACCTACAGGGGAAAAAATGGTTTAATTAAGACAGGCAGTAACAGCTTCCAACATTTCGAGGCTTTCCATCTTTGACACTACAATCTTCAACTGGTAAATTCTTAGAGCTACACCCTCATGAACGACATGGGCAGTGAAATAAGGTTTCTATAGACCAGTCCTGAAAGAAGTACTCCATACTTATGCCAAAAGATGGGCCTAATCTCGGGCAGATGACCACACTTCCCTGCAAAGTGGCCTACAAATATGAAACAGGTGAATGATAGAAAGGAGACAGGGATTTGGTCAATCTCAGAGAGCAGCAAAGGGGGAGATCAGCCCAGATTGCTACAGATTCACAATACAGAAAAGAACAAAATGACAGCAAAATGGACAGACTACTGTGAAGGCAGAAGTGAGGAAGGCTTGGAGGCTGACAGTGGGAGGAGGATCAGACATTGAAGAGCCTCTGCGGCAGGTGACAGAGTATGGAAAAGTTATGGTATCGTTGAATGGACTATGATCTTTTTGCAGAAATGACACAGGTAAAGAAGGCATATGAATGATGGTACGTGGCCACAACATAGACTCAAATGCCCATCCCTTGGATCATAAGCAGAGCCAAGCATCCCTTTATTCTTCCCTTCTTACATCCTAACAGGACTAGGACAACTCACATATTATGGACAGATAGAACAGGATAGAGGCATGTTTTTAATGCACTTAAATATGGCTGCTCATAGTGAAAGTGTAATTGTGACCTTTCCCATTCTTCTCTTTTACCTTCAAGTTAGAAAATCAATAAATTAAGAATTTTGTGACCAAGTCATAGACAGGTAGAAAGAAAACCACATTATCAAGAGACATGAAGGGGAAAGAGACCTTTAACTCTCTAAAAGGTTTGCAAGTGGCTGAGAGATGGTTTAGCAGTTAAAAGCATTGGCTGCTCTTCCAGAAGTCCCAGGTCTAATTCCCAACAATGACATGGCAGTTCACAATGGTCTTTAGCTACAGCTCCATGTGCTGCAACACCCTCTTCCGGCCTCCGCTGGCATCAGGCACAAAGGTGGTACACAGGAAAACATACAGCCAAAACAGCTATACTTATTTTAAAATGTTTTAAGGGCATTAAATTCTCTCTCTCTCTCTCTCTCTCTCTCTCTCTCTCTCTCTCTCTCTCTCTCTCTCTCTCTCTGTGTGTGTGTGTTCAATGTGTGCAGGTGCCTATGAGTACCAGAGAGGGCATCAGATCTCTTGGAGAAGAGTTACAGGCGTTTTAAACCATCTGATATGAGTGCTAGGAATATGAACTCAGGTCCTTTGGAAGCACAGTCAGTGAGTGCTCTGGGCCTCCAAAAGGACCTTTCTGTATTGCCTGCCAACTTCTTGCCCTGTTAACTATGTCAAAGAGAGTGCCTGAGCTTATGAGTCACGGTTAGGATTGAAGATGGATCAGAAACAAAGCAGACAATAGTTTTCTTAACGGGTTCAAAGCCCAGGCAAGAAATAAGACAACAGGATTCTATTGTCAGGAGATAGTGAACTGTGCCAGAGGGCTTGACTCCAGACAGGGCTGAGAACGAAGGAGGGCCCCATGACTACAGACAGGGCTGAGAACGAAGGAGGGCTCCATGACTCATGTTTAGTCCAGTAGCTTGTTCAGCTGAACACAGAGCTTGGAGAATTATATGACATATGTAGACCTTTCCTTCTCCAAAACAGAGCACATGTATGTACCATGTGTACATTTTACTTACATCAGAGTCTTCCCTATGTCATGGTTCTTCATAAATTTGTCCAAAATGCATACTAAATATATATAAACTTTCTCTCCCTCACTGTTCAAAGTGTTGAGAGGAGAGTTGGGGAAAGGGACGATAAAAAGCCAGTGAGGTGACTCAGTGGCTCAGAGGAGCTGGCTGCTTAGCTTTAAAATCTGAGCTTGGTCCTCAGACCCACATGGTGGAGAGAGAGCGGGGGGGGGGGGGGGGGGGGGGGGGGGGGGGGGGGGGGGGGGGGGGAGGAGAGAGAGAGAGAGAGAGAGAGAGAGAGAGAGAGAGAGAGAGAGAGCAAACTCGCACACATTGTCCTCGGGCCTCCATGTGTACACTGGGCATGTGCACGGCCCCCACACACATATATGTATGTATGTATGTATATATAAAAAGTAAATGAAGATAAAAATCTGTGGCTCTGTGAAGTTGATATTTCAGTGGTGAAGGAACAACAGATAGAACAAATTGATAAGTTGGGTCCATAGTTTAGTAGGCAATCATATGTCCATGAAATGAATAAAGGCCCATGTGAACCCAGCATGCTAGAGTGGGAGGAAGGTCATAGCAGTGGGGGAGACAAGGGACCAACAGTACAGCATTTTTAAATAAGGTGGTCAGAGCTGGATTATAGAGACCTGAGGAGGGCACATTTAAAGAATGTTGTTATACACATTGGCACAGGAGACCACTTTCTAAATATAACCCTGGAGAGGATGTGGGGAAAAGGGAACACCTCTGCATTGCTGGTGGGAGTGCAAACTTGTACAACCCCATTGTAAATCAGTATGACGATTTCTCAGAAAATTAGGAAACAACCTTCCTTAAGAAATATCATTTTCGGGTATATACCTGAAGGATGCTCAATCATACCACAAGGACATGTGCTCAACTACATTCATAGCAGCATTATTCATGATAGCCAGAATCTAGAAACAACATAGCTGCTTCTCAACCAAAGAATGGATAAAGAAATGTAGTACATTTACACAATGGAGTATTACACAGTGATAAAAAAAAAAACAATGACATCTTGAAATTTGCAGACAAATG